CGTCGCCGGCCGGTCTGACACGTCAACTGTTGATTCATTTTCTCTCGAAAAATATGTACACATCTAATCAGCGCCATCATTTTCAAAATGGGCATGACTAGTTATAATTGAACTAATGGGCCTGTCAGATCCTGATTTCAAACCCAGTCTCATATTTGACGCGATGTAATAATCTCTGGTTGCAGTAGTAAGGCGAGACCACCAACTTTAATAGAATGAGAAGGTCTGTACTCACCGTCTACGTCTTAGGGGCCCGACGTTAAATACCCAAACGAGACACCAGAGAGCTTAATGTCTCGGTAACACTGGCGAACCGTCTTACAAGCGCAAACAAACCTTGTCACATGCGCGCCAGTGATGGTGCATTACAACCCTCCTCAAGTTCAAGGGCCACGGTTTATGAAACCGCAGGTTACTTGCATATTATCTAAAGAGGTCAAAATGGTTATCAGAACGACCGCTTCGAAATATGTAAGCGAGATGATGTATTATGTGACTATTTAAGTAGTAATTGTCGAGCTGTCGTGAAGAGAATTTTTGCAAGTGGCTTTTAAAAGAGGTAATTTCTCAGCTTCGCATCTTCGTATCTTGGCCCTGCTCCATACCATCCAACCGAAATATGACAAGCCATAATACAAGTCTTGGCCATGAGGAAGTGGCTTGGGAATCGAATGTTCTGCCATCCCAACCTGAAACTCAGAAAAAATACAAGTGCCCTCAGTGTCCTAGCAGTTTCAAGCGACCTGAGAACCTAAAGAGACATCAACGCGGCCACGACGACAACAGGAGGTTTACGTGCCAGATATGTGACAAGAGCTTTGCCCGGAGGTGAGCATAATCCGCGCAAGTTTCTCGGCACGCCCGGGACCACGCTGACAGTCGAAATGAAAGTGATATTCTAGGCAGACACGTAGCGATACACATCCCGCGCGAACGGCGAGACGACAATCCACATAGGAGACGAGCATGCCGTGAATGCGCGAGGGTGCGGGAACGATGCTCGAGAGGCGAACCTTGTCGACGATGCGCGATAAAGGCGTTATGTTGTATCTATCCCGAGGAGTCTCAATTCAAGATCACGATGCCGCACGCCTGGGGCTCCTCCATCTCGGAACCGGACGATTACGACGCAGCTGGAACCAGTAGCTCTGGTCCCGACTCAACTCTGGGGTCGCCGAGAGACGCTCTCTCGGGTGGCCACGGATCCTCGCAGTGGCAAGTTGAAGGCTCTGCGGCGTCGTTTCCGGAGCAATTTATACTGTCACCGTCGGTCTCTCCCCATGCTGGGTTTTACTCGTACCTTGCCAGCCACAACGAAGCCCACTTTGCGCCATTTTTCATATATGACGCACTGTCGTTTCAAGACGAGGGCTTCTGTGCAAGATCTGCAAGCGATATTAGCACAGACGACTTGAAGTTCTTAACAGGTGACGCTGAGCTGGATGGAGCATCGGCGGTGTATACCCGGGCAACCGATATACCTTCGGAATTAATATCAAATTCGAACCAAATAGACATCTACCAGCCCAGCCCATCTATTGAATTCCAGGGACATTATACCAACGGATCGCCTCTCGGTGACGGACATTTCAATTCCCCCTTCGATGTCTGCGGCTCAAGCTCAGGCACACAGGCTCCTGTCCTTAGCCAACCTCAGGTCTTGGACTTCTCGGGCAACCCCACGAGCCAAGAAAGCTTAGCCAGTGTCCAAGTTAATAGCATCGGCTTTGACAATCAAGAACCCCATTTCCACTCTCTCCAAACACCGTATTCCCCCATGGTGGATATAGAAAGCTACGACTCCATCACCACGACCTTCACTGGTTCTTCCCAAGACAAAAACCAAGCTCTCCAATTAGAAGCATCGACAACCGCCCAGAGAACGAGCAAGCACGATTTCTTCCTCAAATTGTATCTGGACCATCTCAAGCACGGCGGGGATTGGAACGACGGTACTTCGGAGGTGCCTGGCGGGTTCGGTACATGAATTCAGGTCTAACAACTATACGAGAATGGAAAGGGACACAATGGGTTCAGCATCTCTATATTGGCATATATACTACGGGGTCTCTTTCACCTTCTGGCAGATAGACATATTAAAAGGTTAGAGCCGAAAGCAATCCAGTCAACCAAACAACTACGATAACTCTATGTGCTTGCCGTGATTTTTCGAAGACTCTAAACTCTGTAAGCTCGTTCGTTCCATGGCTGAAATTGGATATTGATATCATACATAACCCCAACCCCCACCCCCATCCCCCACTAACCTAGTTCTCCCTTTTCTCTATGGGGTCTACGTTTTAAGTTGTGGCACATCAGGATCCAGCCACGTGGGTACTGGATCTATTACAATATATCAGGGTTGCCAGTCGTCTTCGACGACGACAAGGTCTATTTTGACTGGTTAACTCCTAGTAGAGGGACTAGATCGTATCACTTATAAGAAATTGCCAGCATTTCCTGGGACAACTAGGTCTGTCTGTCTATCGATCTTTATTTCACAATTGAGTACTAACTTCCATCTCGTCACCATAACTCATGCCAAACAGTTACATCCACCATTGCAGGCAACGACGGACGACATTACCGAATCGAAACCTTGGCATGTTGATCATGATATATGCCATGATTCCAAGGATAGGCTTGCGGCTTGCCAAAAATCGAAAAAAAAAAAAAAAAAAAGAATGAAGACATAAAATTATTCAGTCATGCCGGTCCAGAGGAGACGCCGTTCGAGGTCACTATTCGAGCACCGGGAATATAACTACTATCGGTATAGCTCCCATAATAGTCCCGAGTTGTACAGCACTACCCACAGCACTGCTACCTTCGTATGGAGTAGGTTTTTTTTTTCCCCTCATTAACCGCGCGCCCGCGCGAGCGAGCGCGCGTTCCCCCTCTCCCCTCTCCTCTCCTCCGCTTAGGTATCATTTGAGGGCGCGCGGCTTTATGACTGACTACATACTTACCTATACCTACTAACCTAGTATACTATACTACACTATCGTCGGTGACAGGGGGACCCGCCTTCACATTGATAAGGGACAAGGGAACGAACGAACGCGCCTCCCGGGGAAGCAGGGGTAGGTGAGCCGACCTCGATCTTGGTGCTGATCCCGGGCTCGTCCGGGCCACGACCCCTGCTGTCCTGGGCGTGGCACGCTATCTACCCGGATGGACTCTGACCCCGCTGGTCCGGGTTGTCTGAGGTTCCTCATCGACGTCGAGCCAAATTTTATAGGGGGGCGGAGGTTCCTGTCATGAGGTGGGAAAGGGTTGCGTTACACGTTTCTGGTAGGGTGTGTCACCTGGATGGGCAGTTGCGTGGCTGTGCTCGCTCTGGCTGGAAAAGGATTCGTAGATGCGGACGAAAAAAAACGGAGCGGATTGTTTTAGCCGCGGTACGGAAGAGGCGTTTTTTCGGAGACGAGGAGGGCGGAGGTGACATTTGTAGATGTGTTCTGTTGACGATGTTACATCCATTATCGCTTGCCAAGTTGCACAGTCGAAGAGTCATGATTACATTACCTGTAGACGCCGCATGCCTGAGGAGAAGGCACGTAGGTATAGTAGGTTTGCTAATGTGTGTATAGGTAAAAGGTAGTATGCGCTATTGATAACATACCCTGGTAATATATTAATGCCAATGCTTGGACGGACTACTACACTTGTCATCGTAAATACGCGCAACCCCGAACCGTAACGAGTCATGAAATAAGTAGGTGTGAATTTTCATATTCAGTATTTGTTCCGTAACTATAATCAAACTTATGGTCTTGGTTATATGTTGTCGGTGTTCCGTTCTAATTTCTCTACCAAGCTTGGCGAGTATCACGAGATCAATATAGTAAGTATACTTGAGATTTTTCTGAAACATTTTAGTATACTGTACGTAGGGCCAAGCTAGCGTATTTACAGGGGTCACAATCTAATCACCGACGTCATGCAATGTGTAATTGGAGTTTGGCTGACATGAGATTGCTGGCTGTTGTGTTGTTTTAGAAAGGGATGTCATCAGTAAAGGTAGAAGAAAGGGATATACAATAATAATAATGCATCCGTAGAAGAAATCATCCACAGATAAGCTACCGAAAATCACTTTAACATACCAGCTGATCGCCTCTTAATTCTATATATCCCACCCTTATGTGACTATGAAAAGATTTGGTCACGATGTAATGACCTACTATACTATTGTGAATACTGGGTAAACTTGCCCCTGGCAACAGTAGACGAGGTCTGACATGCTCTTGCCCACCTGTCACAGTGCTTTTTTCTAGATTGAATAAAATGCGGCGTCTTAAATATCTAATGAGTTATAATAGACGACATGCAAGCATTGCAGCGTAGCAACAAATAAGTTAACCTAGCAAAAGCAGGGCTGCCACTGAATAGCCCCAAAGAGTAACGGATTGGCAAACTAACCTAGGACCCTGAATGGGAACCTGCAAGGCATCCCCAAGACGCACTAGTTTCTCCTCAACATGTATCCAAGAACCGAGAAGCTGGCTACCAAGTATTGGCTTTAGGTGTTTTGTGTAGGATGATTAGGTATTATAAAAGACTAAAACGTTTCAAAGGAGAAATATACGTTCAAGGTTATATGTTTGACAATAGAAAGATTACATCTAACCAGTTATTTAGATTTGCGGTTCTTGAATTGGCGCCTTTACATTCGCTAGTTATTCTTATCTAGGAAGTACCTTAGGTGTGTAGGGTATGAAATAGCCATTGAAAATAACGCTATACCGAAATATCTTGAACGAAATACAATGAGCTATGCTATGTATGGGCTTTATATGATTACTGATTAAACTGTTTAAATTGGTTGATCAAAGGCGGCAAAAAAGCCAAGAGCACCTGTCATCAATGCTTGCCAAGGATAACAAGCCACCTTGGGCTGAAAAGGTCAGAGCAGGATTGAGGTGTGCTAAAATTAATGGCCCGACTGAATATAAACGAGATGCTGATATTGACCTTCATCAATCGCAGCCGCAAGTGGTTTCCTGGTGTAATGGTTATCACTGTGGATTTTGATTCCACCAATCTGGGTTCGATTCCCAGGGAGACCTTGTCCACCAAGCCACGTTCTGCTATATAGTATGGCATGGTGTACCCAGTACTCAATTGAACACATTATCCGGTATAGTGTAACGGTCAACATACCACGTTTTCAATCATCCTCAAAAGGTGTTAGAAGATCCGTGGGGCTCGGGGTTCGACTCCCCGTACCGGAGTTAATTTTTTTTTTTTTTTTTTTGGGGTTTCTCCTCCCTAGATAAGATAAGGGGATAGATAGTGTTAGGGTGGATTGTACCCATAATAATAAATAAGCCTTACTTAAAAAGAATCGCACCCATGTTTTAAGGGACGCCATACCAACCAACATAGGTACAGACACGCCATGCACGCCATGGCACATAGAATACAATCAATAGATTACTTACTTAAAACTAAGGTATAGTTAACAACTGTTCACTTTAACACATTATACTTGCCATCTTTTTAAGAATAACATAATAATATAAAGAAAACCTCGGACAAGTGGCATTTGTTAATTACCTACCTACTACCTCCATTAGTTTCGCTAGGCAAACAAGCACATCTTCCCAAGTAGCAAAGTGATATAAAAAAGATGTTCTACATTGACTACGATTAGCCCTATGAAGTCGCAGACCAATCATGGATCATATTATATGTATATACTTTATCAGGATGCCAATCAAGAACGAGAAGTCGGTAGGACCTGTCTGCCTGTCTGCCTGTCTGTCTGTCTGTCTGTCCGTCCTACAAGTTCCTTGAAATCTGAGGTGTTAGTTAGTCAACCCCCGTGGCTCCGCATTGCCGACATTTCCGCTCGCATCAACAACCTCCGGACAATCCTGACCGAACGTCTCGCAAGGTACCCACTCCCTCCCCGCATCCCACCAGCTCGTCGTCTCCATGGCCCGGGGCCCCTTCCCGATCATGACGGTCCACATCTCTCTGTCGCCGGGACGTACGACGCCAGCCTTTTCGAGCGCCGCCAGAGCGGTCGCCGTCCAGGTGTGGTAGTCAGGTCAGTCACCTTGGCTAAAATGGGGCAGCTGGCTCTCGTCTTCGCTCGAGCGGCGTAAGACATTGACTTACGGCGTTCATGGACTCCCTGGCAGTCAGATCGGTGCGTATGTGGCATCTCTCGCGTGGTGTCGGCTCGACCTCGAATATCCGTTCCGAGCGCCGTTTGTAGGTTGTCACGATCATCACCCCGTATAAAGGACACGTATGTATATAGCGGGGGACTGGCCCACAGAGTAGTTAGAGTCTTCGCGCGATAACAAGTATCCATACGCACCCATACCTGAGATCCTGGCAGTAGGTAAACCGCACCTGGTCGAGACACTGTACGTAGTGAAGGCTGTAGATGCTCGGTTGCGAGACGCTCTGGTGGATGGCGATAGCAACGAGTCTGGGGACGTCGCCGTCTTTTTCATCGTCCTAGAGAATTATGGAAATGGTGTATTAGCTCATATTTTTCCCTGGCCGGCGCAAGTCAGGTGTGTTATTGAGTGGTAGGCTCTATTTATGTTTTCCCTTGGTCCTTGAGAGGCGTACTCGTATAAGTATTAATCGGAACAATAGGGCGGGGGTGGTGGTGCGCGAGAGGAATAGGCTTAATTGAGTACTGGTAAGTGTTGAGTTATGGGCCATAGAATGCGTTTCGTTATTTGTTCCGTTGGTTTAATGGATATGCCTTATCTACCATAACCATGCCATCGTAGTGGCTTAGTAGCCAGTCATACAAGTGCAATTCAAAAATTGTATTGCTATATACCGACGTATCATGAACCCTGTGTATGCGGCAGGCAATAGACTCCTGTTATTGGGCGAAGGGCTCTAAAATAATTTTCGTAGAACTACTATAGCTATATATACACATGAGATTCTTTGTGATATTATGACAATTTATCATGAAGGGAATGATACTGTTGCCTTGATTGGATTATTTGCACCTCAATAATAATAAAAAGCATTCGCGCCTTTAATGTAACAAGCCAACAGGAGAAGTAATTGGAGTTGAGCGTTTGTAGATTTAAAATCGGCAATCATAAGACCACCAAGCCTCTTCGGTTTCAGGCATAGGTTAAGATTTGCTGTGCCCTTCGAATCAATGACCTTATTAAACATTTGGTTCATATTAATATTGAGCTCGGTATACTAAGGCGGGAATATTTAACTCCTGCCATTCAAAACTTAGCCTGAACACATATGTCAGAGGGCTTTGTAATACCCCTGGTATTCGGGATAGAGCTTGTTATGTGCTGATCTGATATTGTCATAGAAAATAGTCTGGTATCAAGATAGCATTGGGCTTTAAGCTGCTGTATATAAATATAAACTTGTGACTGCGGAGGAGAAAAGAAGTGGACTAGCTGATGAGTGGCATGTTTATTATTGCAGCTTTCAGATTTGATGTTGTTATTCAGCGGGCCCTGGCCGGCCCGTACCATATCTCTCAAGATGCCTTTATGTAATTCATTCTCGTTAAGATAAGGGGAATACAGCGGGATTAGTGGTGAATCTACCTATCCAATCACTTATAATACCGCGAAACTCGCCTAAGTAGAGCACTTAATCGTCATTGTTCTTTTCTTCTTGGGCGACTTCGTAAAACTCAAGCCAAAACTAGCCCTTTTCGAAATATATAACAACATATTCTGTAGTGGAGAAGATGGGCACTCAAATGTTAGGCGCTAAAGACACAGGAGCAAAGTCGATACACCTTCTAATGTGTTCGTATTGAGGATTTTGATCATACAAGAGCCTAAGTTCCCCAAGAGAGTCGAAAATCAAGACTATTGAGCTATACTTCCAGCTTTCACTGACCCAGTCTTGGACCAGACATCACTAAGCCCCCTTATAAAGTTGAACCTCCTGGCACGAAGATTTTGGTGGACGCTATATCGGTGCGGCAGTGAAAAAAAAAAAACTCCACTCCAGGCCTAAGCTGAATATCTTTTTACTCATACTTACTCAGTGTGTCTTGGTTGATTTGCTGTAATGATAGAAGCTATATGAGGAAATGATTTGGGGAGAGACCTAGCTTCAAGCAAGCATATATTTGTAGGGACTCCCATATGCCACGGCTGTGGATGTGGATGAAAGGCAGGTATCCTCACAACCTTGCATTATCACCTTGCTGGTATATAATGCTTCGTTATGTCGGCTATCAAGCACTATGCGCATAGCACAAGGATTCTCCCAAGGTGTCTCTGCATGGAAAAGACCCAGAAAGCCTACTGCCGGCATGACAATGGTGTATTCGACGTAGCCTTTCGAGAAAAATGGGTGTGAATGAATGTCGGGTGATACTGGGAGATTGGCTTTAAATGGCTCGATAGAGACGGTACGGTCCAGGCTGTACTCGTTCACGTTACTGAGTCTATACTACTCACTTATTTTTAATGCGATCGGCCATAACGTAAATGCATATATTTTGGCCTCTATGACTTTCCGTATTGCCATCGGTTCCCGTTTTTTCACATCCCAAGTCGAAGGGATGGTGCCTATGGGCCATCTCCAAAATGTGCGCGGCCTGGCAGCTCGTCAACCTGTCAGTAGTTGGGTGGCACGACATATTACCCGCCTGTCGATTTGCGGCTTACACTTACTGCCACACCCCCCTCCCTTTGTTTGTGTGTCAGCACGCCCCCTGCCCATAGTCCTCTATCACCATGGCTCAAATCTTGTACTCGACATGCTTAGGCAACAATGTTAAATAGATGTCACTTAATGTCATTTATTCATGCTAAGAGATGGCTTAGAGGTTTACGTACTAGTAAATGCGGCGACCTATAAATATACTCCAACTTTCATGTAGCCCGGCGGCTCTTGTGTCCCGGTCTTACAGCAGGACATTCGACTAGATACCTTAAGATGTATGCCCACTTCCAATAATATTTGGCATGAATGTGTAGCTGAGTAAGTATCCAGTCTAGGTTCTGGCCAGTCCCGGTGATGTGGTAGCTGGTAATCAGCACTGTCAGCTGTAAAGCCACCTATGTTCATGTGACTGATGATGGCTTATCGGTTAGGAAGATCTATGGATGCGCTACCATTAGTTATGTCCCGCCTGCCATCAATCATCAATCACCTCCTTTACTATGCGTAGACTCATATGTTCTTTTGGGGATGCGGGCCTGGGGCTATGCGGCCGGGGTAACCATCTATCCTATTCGTGTACATGTGTAGGAACCTTTCTGGAATCTTGGGCTGACAGCAAATGAGGGCTGGAGGTTGCATCGGCGATCCTTGTCAGACAGTTAGCGAAGTTTTAAGTCGACGGAAGGGTCCTGATGACATACATTGCAGCTGGGAAATTACAATCCTAATAGGTAGCCGATTGGCATATGCATGGCACTAGGACTGACAGTCGATGAGGCGGTATCAATACATTTGGACAGCAGCATCACTGCTGCAAAGCTACCTCGCCATTGGCAAAACGTGGCACCATTGCGACGTCCTGGCGTACACGAAAGCAATGCAGAGATGCCCAATTGTAACGACTCACAAAAACGATGGAGCCTAATGTGAAGATATATGAAGGGCATCGGAAACTGAGATGAGGCTCTTGTAAGCTACAGAGTAGCAGAAACGTGACGATAAAATAGGTTCATATGATGTTACTGAACCCCCTTGTCCTGTCGAACCTCAATATAGAGGGGTAAAGGATGACGCGCGCACACATCAATGCCCTGACGCACGCCCTGTCCAATCCAGGTCTCACACCATGCAGCAGCTCGATCTGCTTAGAGAACGGTTTACTGGCGTGGAAGGGCCTTCCCTCAGAAGCCCCATGACGATGATCGATGCAAGCGGGGTGGTAGCAAGGCGCATCGCGATGTATCATCCAGCATCCAGCATCACGCACGCGGGCCGTGATTCGGATAAGCTGGGTTAAGGCGAGTTTCCTATGGAGCTTTGCGCCTCGATCATGCGGGGTTTTCTGCTCAGAACGACAACCGGTGCCTGGACGGGTGACGAAAGGGGGAGCTCGGTGAAGTGGGAATTCCCCATTCGCTAGCGGGCTTTGGTCGGGGTTCTAGAGCTGACGGAGAGGACGAAAAGGGCTGGGAGGATTCAGCAGCGACAGTGGCAGCAAAACAGCAACAGCAGCGAGAGCACTAGCATAACTTAGTGCTTCACAGCTGTGGCTGTCGGGGACTTCCCCAGGAAATGGTCCAGTGCAGGGAGAATA